TTGTCTAAATGCTAAAGTATATAATTAATGTTATTCACTATTTTTACCGCTTCTCAAGATAACACATCCCGATACTAAATACAACTAATTGGCAACTGAAAATGCTGTAAAACATTAAGAGATGATTCGTTTTTATTAAACTAGCATCTAAGATTTGTCAAGGAAATATAAATTGATGCACTGACGCTTTTAGCGCAGATATTCAAAGGGGCCAAGATAAAAGTTGTTACATTTTAAACTTAGTCAAAGGACTAATAAAAACACTTTCATTAAGTTAGAGTGCAAGTGAGATGTACGCGATTGGCAGCAAGCTACGTTGTTTTTTATACTTTTTCAGTGACCGTACTGTTAGTGTTATGTACAGGTTTCTATAATGAATAATGTAAAGGAAATATTGGTTAAAGCCGATCGGTTTCATGTCACCTATCTTTTAATCTAATAGTTTCCTAGCATTTAAATGCCGGCCCGGAGAGTTTGGTATTCTTTACAATGAAGTTTTTTGAAGAGAAATGTGTGCTTGACAAATGTGAGAATCGGCTGCACAAATATTTAAAAATAATAGCCAAGTACGTTCGGGTTGAACCTACGCTCATATTGTGAAAAATAAATAAATCCTCATGGATATAGTATACTGGATCCACTCCTGATTTTGTCTAATTTGTGGAAACCATTATAGTGGCAATCTAAGTATGCGGCCAACTACTGAAAGGTAAACTTTGGCTCATGTGGTTGCCCGGGTTATCATATTTCTTGCATACTGAGATATCTGCACAAATAAATGTTAATATAAATTTAAAACAGAAAACTACGAATAAATTTCGCATAACCCATACTTCAAATTTAGTTGCTTACCATGAATATAATTGGTTTGTCTTTTCTTCTTATGCAACTCTGCATTTCAACCTACAAGCAAACCGCGTATTGCGGATCGCGATTTGTATGCATTGTGATTTCCCAGTTTGGTTTTTACACAAGCGTAGCCTGGAAATAATCTTATATCTTAAGATGTAATTTTTTGGTTGATCAGTCAAGTACAGTAAGGAAATCTTTGCCAGTTTCAGCAACTTAATTAATTCTAACAATAATGCATTTGTAAATATACTGGAATTCGTACATTCCCAGAAATAATATAATTATGTAAACTGATGTGGTAAATAAACTATCTTCTAATGTTTTGTTTTAACTATGTACTTAGTCCATTTCAATTTACTTTTCATTTATCTTTACTTTCCAGTTAAGTAAAGGAGTCGCAATCAATCTAATAAACAACTGCTTATCTAATAGTTAGTTAATTATTACATTGGATTTCATTTTTAGTACCTGCCGTGTACAGTATTTAAACCTCAGCTAATTAGGATTGTATTAACATATATATTAAAAAGCTAACTCCGCAAAAATATTCCTTGATCCCGCAGAATGTGTGCAAGATAATTACCCAATTGCTTCTGGCTGTTTTTTGGCGTATACATAACATTACAATTTATGTTTAATCGGCCTAAGTATAAAAGAGTTAATTACCAAATTTACAAAAACAGAATTTATACTTTGTTAACGCGGAGTTAAATTATTTTTTTTTTTGCAAACTTTGAATAAGATGCATACTTAGATCTGGCAATATCTCAATTGTTCATTTTCGATAGTATTTACATAAGGTTAGAATAATTAAATTTTTATGTATTATCGTTTGAGTACCAAATTAGTCGTTTGCCAACGTATATTATTTTAAGTTGAGACGAAATATTGCTTGACATATAACTTAGACAAAATTATGGTGAACTGTTTATTGTTCTTAATACACAATAATTTTACCGTATTTAATATTCGTTGGCTTTGGATTTTTGGCTTCCTTAGAAAATGGATAATGTAAAATTAAAGTAAACCATTTCAGAGCTGCAGTCAGTATTTTTATCCCGGGTCATTTCTACCAATGGAAGATTGCATGCCTAAACAACAAAAAATTGCTAAAAATATAGCGCCACCCAAGATACTTTACTAGTTTTGTTTTGTTTACGTTGTGTTTCCATTAACTAACAAAAACACAAATGCTTCCCAAGTGTAACATAAACAAAGGATAAACGTTTGTGTGTTTGGTTAAACGTTTTGGGAAGGAGAAAGCTGTTTTCTGGAAGGGCACTGAAAAACTTTGTGAAAGTCATCACAATAAATGCACGTCCAAAATGTCGTCACTTAAAAGTAGATAACCATTAAAACGCAGCTTGATTAGATTTAGCAAAGTTGCGAAAAATTTTGATTCAAGATAAATTCCTTTATTACAGCTAGTGCAGTCGTGAGCAAAGATAACATTGCTAAAGCATTCAAAATTAGAAAATCCTGTCCTTGCATATAAACTTGACTAAACAATATTTTAACCTAAATTAAAAATAGAGTACCCTTGTAGAATTCTTTTCTATTCAAATTGAATGAAATTCCGGAAAACAGCAAAACATACCACAGCGTTCGACCAAACATCATGTTTTGATTTGTTTTCCTAAAGAATGTTGTCATTAAGGTTAATAGTTGATTATGTTATATTCGGCGAAATTATAATCTTGCGGGACTTATCCCAACATATAATATAACGCAAGACAATGAGGGAGCTACGGATTGATATTTGGATTTTCCACTGTGCACCAGAAATTGTGAATATGTATTTGTTACACCCAAAACATTTACATGTGAAACGAATAAACATTTAACTGTCACTACAATATTTTGTTATTAAATGTATTTTGCGGCTATATATTTAAATAATGGTTGAATGTAGCACTTACTTATAATAACAACATTTACAGAAACATTTAAAACCTGCTACAAAATTAAAATATGAATACTCACGTCTACTAAAAGTTTTAGCAATATTGCTTCACTATGGGCTGGTATTGAAAATAAGATAGGGCAAAATGTTATAAAACGTTATGATTCACAGATGTGCACTGGTATATGAATTCATCAGCATTAGACTTTCGTATTTAATTGGGTAATCCAAGCTATGTGAGTGGATTTTTCTCTCAGCAAGTGAAAAGTAGAATATAAAGTTGTGACATCATGTGTTCTCGTAAATAGTGGTATGCTGCCAAAATGCAACCATATATTTCGCAATTTCTCATTGTGCATACTGATGCTAGAAGTGAATGCAGGACGTGGAACAGAATGAGGTTGTGCATATTTCGAACTACGGTTAGCAGAGTTAAGGTGATTATATTAAAGATTATTAGCAAGCAAGTTTTAAAAGGTAATCTTTTTACAATGTTTCAGTTGACTGAAATTCAATTAATTTGCTACATTCAATTGAACCTTTGTTTGCATATGGTGTGATTTAAGGGTCGATATTAACCAGTCAGCTGTGGATATTTCACCTAATTTAGACAGCGTCAGACTATCCGTTAGAGCAAACTGACCTGATTTCTTATGGCAGAAGCAAAGTATTTTTAAAGGTATTTGCCGTCAAAGGGATAAAATAGGTGGTTGGTTAGTACTTAGGTGGAAAGATGGGGTAGCTGTATTGTTAGTATATAATCAGAATGGCTGTGGTATAATTCGTCGAAATTTGATTTAACCCGTCTGGAACTATTATTCTAAGTTGCCGCATCAACCACCGGACCAGGATGGACTTTATGCATAATCTGGATGCATAACTAGATAGACGGTACAATTAGTGCCGCTTAATATTTAGAGGTTGCACTGCAAACTAGCCTTTATTATAAAACATTTCTCTTTGAATATAATTAGTCCAATATATATAGACGAATTTACAAAAAAAGGAGCAAATACTTGGCAGTGGACAGCAGGTACTGTGCGAAATATTTACTTGATTTTGGGTGTCAAAAATATGCAGATACGTTGGCGTTATAAAGTATCCTAAAATTAATATGAATCAATATCAGAAATCATTGCAGGGTAAAGAATTCCTTTCGGTAACTCTCATCAGACCCAAACATTTAAAAAACTTTGAATGTGGAGATAGCATCAACTGGGGCTGGGATTGACTTCTTGACTGTTTGAATGACCAAAATCGATAACTTGAGACAGAGATGGTAGACCAAGTAAACTAAATAAACATGTGTACACAAGGCTCCGTAGTACAATGTAATTAAGTACGTAAGATAACAGCCAAATAAGTAAGTATCGGTGTCCGTTGGCCAAGGTAGCAGCATCGGCAGAATAAATCGTTTTTGGACACATAATTCCGGCTTTAGATGGTGAATGTACATAGCCTCGGCGATGGATAAGAGCTGTTTGCGGAATTCTTGGGAGAAGTGTTCAGGTAATGAGTAAATGACTTTGAAGTCATTCTCTGAAGCTGTATGGCCACATTCAAGGAGGTGCGACATGATAGAGCTGTCTGAAGACCTCATTTCGCCTCTGTAAAACCATGCCGGGATGTGTTCACGAACCCTCTGAGATAGGCGTCTCGTCGTGCGACCCACGTATCGTGCACCACAGGAGCACGAGTACTGATAAATGATCATTGAACGGGTCAACGGCGGTAGTCTATCCTTCAAGAGTTTGTAAGCAACGGCTTATTGTGAAAAACGATTCTCAGGCGGGCCGCGAAATAAGTTTTCTCGACAGTATCTTTCAGTCGTCTGGATAACATAACAGCTGCAGAATCGCCCTTAAAGAGTATATGTATGAAAAGCTCTTTCTTAGGAGCAATGCTCCTAGGTGGCTTTCGATTACGTTCCTTCAAATTTGTCACGATAAATTTATCCGGATAGCCATTTTCCCTGAGGGCGTCGCTGATTCTCTGTAGTTCTTCGTTGACGGTATCCGGTGTACAAATACTGCGCGCCCTGAAGGCGAGAGATCTGATTAAACTCCGCTTGTGCTGTAGTGGTACTGCGCTGTGGAAGTTAGTGTACTGCCCAGTCCATGTGTGTTTTCTGTGTACCTTTCTGCTGCGTGATCCGTCTGAGTTACGGATAACCTCTACATCCAAAAAAGGTAACCGGTTTCCGAGTTCCTGAACAGCAAACAGCTCTTATCCATCGCCGAGGCTATGTACATTCACCATCTAAAGCCGGAATTATGTGTCCAAAAACGATTTATACGGCCGATACTACTACCTTGGCCAACGGACACCGTTACTTAGTTATTTGGCTGTTATCTTACCTACTTAATTACATTGTACTACTGAGCCTTGTGTACACATGTTTATTTAGTTTACTTGGTCTACCATCTCTATCTCTGTCTCAAGTTATCGATTTTGGTCATTCAAACAGTCAAGAAGTCAATCCCAGCCCCAGTTGACGCTATCTCCACAATCACTGTTATGTAAATGTTTGGGTCCGATGAGAGTTACCGAAAAGAATTCTTTACCCTGAAATGATTTCTGATATTGATTCATATTAATGAAATGGGAATCTTTGCTTTGCTGAAGATCAGCATTGCCCGTGATTCATTGAAACTCTTAAATGAGTATCTGAAGTTCAATACTCGGCTGGAAGAATCCAGGGTCGAATTGGAATTCCTCAATGAATGCGTGCAGGCAAACCGCTATCCAAAGCACTTTTGGAGGGAAATACGGCGGTGTGGCCTCTACCCAAACGCAAAAACCTTGAAGAGACATGCACTCAATTATGTGGATACCATCCGCGTTAAGATGTCGGAGCTGGAGAGATTCATTTCGCAAAGATTAACAGCTGTGTTATGCCTGCCTGAAGACTTGAGACAGCCTTTTGAGGAATATGTAGAACTGGTTAAACAGAAAATGGGAGTAAGGAAACAAAAGAAGTTAGTTAGTACGCTTAATAGCCATGTCCCCCAGTTGACATTTCCGAATAACCCGCAGCGATATGTGTTTAACCTTTCAAGTGTGATACTAACCCAGACGCAGCTGAACGTGTTGTCATTAGGTCCAAAGTTTTGCATACCATGTAAGAAAATAGATCAGGCGGCTTTAGAGGTGCAGTTTGAAAGCCTAATTGCTCAGACTAAAGACCTGCTTCCAACCTCATCAAGTGATGTTGAGAATCTAAAATCTAGCCTAGTTCATAGTTGCCACGAATACGTTAAGACCAAACCATCTAGTAATAGTATTATCACTAGGGAACAAATCCAGTCACTTAAAGAGCTACGGTTAAACAACGAATTAATAATCTCTAAGCCAGACAAGGGCTCCGGCATAGTGCTAATGGATAGGGTGGATTATATCCATAAAATGCAACACATCCTCAGTGATGAGAGTAAGTTTCAGAGGCTCATGACAGGAAAAGACAACACAGGAGAGTTAGAGAAACAGCTAACCGGCTGCCTCAGGCGAATGATGCAAGCCAAACTTATCACGAAGAACGAATTCGAAAAGCTGAAGCCTTCAGGTGGACACCTACCGAGATTATATGGCCTACCTAAAGTTCACAAGGAAGGCGCCCCAATGCGCCCAATCTTGGACATGGTGGGTTCTCCTCAGCATTTGTTGGCCCAGTGGATGGTGGCGAAGCTGCAGCCGTTACGGAATTTGGTTTGTACTTACTGCGTGAGAGACACGTTCGAATTCATTGAGAGGATATCTGAAAGCAACCTTGTTAACAAAAGGATGATATCATTCGATGCCCAGTCGCTGTTCACAAACATTCCATTGCTCGAAACCGTGGATTACGTATGCGAGCTTGCTCGGCAACTGCCCATATACACAACTTTTCCGGAGAATTTGCTAAAGGAGGTGTTACTTCGTTGCACGTTAAATGTTCAGTTCACTTTCAATGGTGAAATGTACCGTCAGATTGACGGAGTGGCCATGGGATCTCCTTTGGGGCCGCTGCTGGCTGATATATTCATGGCGAAATTGGAACATGGCCCACTTGCAACGCACATCCGTGAAACCGAAATGTACGTACGGTATGTGGATGACACCTTCGTACTTTGCAAATCCGAAAAGCATGCGGAACAGTTGCTGAAAGCTTTCAATGACGCACACAAGAATCTCCATTTCACTTGTGAACACGAACTCGGAAACCGGTTACCTTTCTTGGATGTAGAGGTTATCCGTAACTCAGACGGATCATGCAGCAGAAAGGTACACAGAAAGCACACATGGACTGGGCAGTACACTAACTTCCACAGCGCAGTACCACTACAGCACAAGCGGAGTTTAATCAGATCTCTCGCCTTCAGGGCGCGCAGTATTTGTACACCGGATACCGTCAACGAAGAACTACAGAGAATCAGCGACGCCCTCAGGAAAATGGCTATCCTGATAAATTTATCATGAAACATTTGAAGGAACGTAATCGAAAGCCACCTAGGAGCATTGCTCCTAAGAAAGAGCTTTTCATACATATACCCTTTAAGGGCGATTCTGCAGCTGATATGTTATCCAGACGCCTGAAAGATGCTGTCGAGAAAACTTATTTCGCGGCCCGCCTGAGAATCGTTTTTCACAATAAGCCGTTGCTTACAAAACCCTTGAAGGATAGACTACCGCCGTTGACCCGTTCAATGATCATTTATCAGTACTCGTGCTCCTGTGGTGCACGATACGTGGGTCGCACGACGAGACGCCTATCTCAGAGGGTTCGTGAACACATCCCGGCATGGTTTTACAGAGGCGAAATGAGGTCTTCAGACAGCTCTATCATGTCGCACCTCCTTGAATGTGGCCATACAGCTTCAGAGAATGACTTCAAAGTCATTTACTCATTACCTGAACACTTCTCCCAAGGATTCCGCAAACAGCTCTTATCCATCGCCGAGGCTATGTACATTCACCATCTAAAGCCGGAATTATGTGTCCAAAAACGATTTATACGGCCGATACTACTACCTTGGCCAACGGACACCGTTACTTAGTTATTTGGCTGTTATCTTACCTACTTAATTACATTGCACTACTGAGCCTTGTGTACACATGTTTATTTAGTTTACTTGGTCTACCATCTCTATCTCTGTCTCAAGTTATCGATTTTGGTCATTCAAACAGTCAAGAAGTCAATCCCAGCCCCAGTTGACGCTATCTCCACAATCACTGTTATGTAAATGTTTGGGTCCGATGAGAGTTACCGAAAAGAATTCTTTACCCTGAAATGATTTCTGATATTGATTCATATTAATGAAATGGGAATCTTTGCTTTGCTGAAGATCAGCATTGCCCGTGATTCATTGAAACTTTTAAATGAGCATCTGATTTTCTGTCCTAAATTTTTCAGGTTCATTTATTACCTACATTAGATGTGTCTGCTTAGGAGAACAACGTTTTTGCATTTAATTTCTTGGAAAATATACATATATCTTTGTACAACAACGGTATCATCTTTTAGGACTTCATGTTCTTGCCTTCCTATAAGTGCAGTAATTTATTTACTAATTTTTTTGCCTAAATCTATAAGAATATAGGTGTCAAATAGATTGAAAACTGCGCCAATGCAGTTAAACAAATCGTATTTGTCGTTGACGGAATTTTTAAAATAAAACAATACTTTCCTTTATGTGAAGGGTATATTGAATAATGTGAATGTAGACGTACATCTGATAGGCGATATGGTATCTCTGCTTAAATATATAAATTATGAATTTTTTGCGTTGTAACGATTAGCGAAACACAATGGTCGTGTGCACTATGAGGAAAAATGTGGTGTCTAAACAGTTATGTTTGATATGTATATGTATATATAGGGTTTACTCGAGAGCAAAGGAATTCTTCACCTGCTACCTCTCCGTTCTTTATGTGCGCATGGAACCAGTTTAATGCGGTATATTATACCTAGCTTGGAATCGTCGCGAAATCATACTTTGCTCATAATCTCACCTAAGTGGCATATAATTGATTGGTTATAAAACGAATTATTATGAGTGAACATGTAACGCACTTGTTTCAGCTACACAACTGCTCTTTATCTAACATACCGCAAGTAAGTAATAACGCCGCACCTTCTGCAGATTTTATTCGCTTTATTTCTTTTGGCTTGACGGTGGAATACTAGAGTTTCAAAGTATAGATGCAAATGCGCTTTGAAATGTCGTTCGTTTCGTGTGGAATAAGCTGCGCAATTTCGGATTGCAAGTAAGTACATACGCGGAACGGAAGAGCATGGCTAATTTGAAGAAAACGACTGTGCAAATGCATTGGTTTAATTTTGGCGAAAAGGTTATTTTTAACAGCAAGTACTCGGGAATCGTTATGAATATTGTACCAATGGCTGCGAGCCAAATGTAAATACGCTGCTTTTTTCATTAATTAAATGCTAAAATTCGAAGATGCAGTTAACTTATTAAACACAACCAGACATCATTTCATGCAGGTTGCTGATAAAGCTGCATTTAGTATTATACAGTAGATCCATACAAACATGGAGCATTATTCTCTATTTAAAGCAGTCAAATTAAAAAGAAAGTCTGCCCTGCTGGAACATCCTATATCCTACTTTATACAGGAAATATTGTTTTCCTTCTGTTGATAATGTAAACTGTTAATAATGTAAATGTTAAAGCAGTATATCTAAATTATATCACTATATTTATACGTTGTTCACGACATGCATTGTGAGTTTCCTTAAATGTTTTTGTCGCCAGTTTTAAAACGAATTGACCATAAATGCGTGCTCCAATCTTCGCAATGTTTTACATGGGGCTAAAGAATTTATACATAACGAACTTATAGTTGCTGCAAGAAATGACTGTAGGAATATTCTGATCATAAACTACCGAAAGCCACTGCAAAGGCAATTTGCAGTAAAGGCGAATTGCTTAGACACACTTATTTTTTTACACTAGCGGCATTCGTAGCGGCAAAGTTGCGGACTTTGCTATTCATAAAATGCAGATAGTCACCAGCACAGTCTACCAAGCCCTTCACGAGTCATCGTTTTTCAGTAACGCTGACTCGGTCTGACCAGTAATTACTTTCGCAAATCCCACAGAAGTTAAAGCAACCCCATGTACTTTTAACACAAGTGACCAGCCCGTAAAAGTTGCGTCACCAATTAGTAAAATTATTGTAGTGTGTATCATTAGGAAAATTAAACATTTAACCAAATACCACATACTAAATATAATGGCAATTCTTCCAGGTCGAACGTAGACATATAGTACACCGCTGAGTGCAGCCTTCCTTATTTTCCATTGATTAGCACGACGGTGTATAACACCTAAACAACCTTGATCTAATAAAGTTCTATTATATCATTTCACGAAGCAGACTTGATGACGTACTCTAGCTACTAATAACTGGAAGCCGAAATATATTGCGTCGTCGCCAAATTTCGTGATACTTATCTGTCCTGCAACGTCTGACAACATTCTAATCCATGCAAAGTCGCCTAAAATCAGATCGGGAGCAAGGCATAGGGTCATAAAGTTTTAAATGCCAGCCTCAGTTTATAGCCTGTCCCTCACCTACAATCCTTCTATGTAACCAGCTTATCCCTTGACAGACGAGTACTATTAGGTTAGCATACACCCTTATTAACAAGTCATCAACTTAAGACCATAGGGAAACTATTACTGGTTCATAGGTTGCAGAAATTTCTATTCATGGAGCACCAAAACGTAACATAGAACAGAGCCCAGGGGCACATCACTGCTTATATGTAGGGTTATAAATTACTATGTGCATCCTATCTCATAAGTTTCTCTTAAACCCACTGTTATGTCCATAAAGCAAACTGCTTCTCATTTTACTTGTTCTTCCTAAAACACACTACATGATTTGCCTCAATAAAAATTGGTGCACAGCAGATAGACGTGTACTTCAATAAAGTGTTTGGATTATCTTTTTTGAAAGGGTATTCTGCGCAAACGCGTTGATAAATGTGTCAATATACAAATGGCATAACCACAATCTCAGCTGACCAGCTGGCATTCACTGATTTTATGAGTTATTATGGTAGACAATTCCTCCCGGTGATCTAATACTGACCTGCATTTATAATCCCCCTGAAGTAATCGTCATGAATCGCAACAGTCAATATCTACCAGCAATGCTATTATAAACACATCACATAAGTACAAATTCCTTCTTGGAAATATAGACATGAGAACAAAATCCCGGAGAAGATATGAACAGCAAAGAACCCCTAGGCGAACAAGCCTGTTTGCAGTGGTTCGCATCAGGCTATCACACCAAAGCAATTAGGAATAACATTAACACAGGGTATTTTATTGGGATAAATCAATGAACCGCATTGATTTATCAAGGAGATTAAGTGATAACACTAGTTGGGGCAACATTAGTGCATGGGTTAAGCTATGCGTCATTGGACCCAGCCCCGTTAAACAACCTATACGATTCCTTAGAGCTGAACTATTATATTCTATATGGGTCCTCTCTCTACATATTAATTGATGAACTGTTAACACGACGTGGAGACAACGCGGTGTTCTGCAGCATGAATATCAGGTTTTCTAAAAGGACGAAGTCAATAAAGTAGCAAGCACTCTGACTACAACGCATTAATTGAACAAACTTGGCATACTACTTAGGAGCAAACGTTTTGACCAACAGCAGATTCCCCATAGCCGCTGGCATATTCATGAAAACTATCATTACATCTTCGGAGAGCCTAGGCCGTACATAGAAGGAAAAATGGAACTCTTTGAGAGGTGATGCACACTATCTTCCAATTAAACATATTAAAAAAATGTACCTTAAAAACAAGGAAATTGCCGCATTAACCTGAATATACGAAGATTTACTTAAACTTATTCACTGAATCATACAATGTAGAATTGCGTAAATAAGCCTAGTGGTTAATTATTAAGACAGCTTATGCCTAGATGCAGCTACTCAGAAGAACATCCCGAAGCGACAACAAAGTATTACATCCATGACTTTGAACGACTTTATGGTCACTAATGATTTCGTTTATACATGTGAAATAATGAATTCTTACTTTGCTTCCTACTCCGTTAACGTATGATCGACATGTTGCTGTCTAATTCAAAGTAGAACGTAATGGGTCCTACTTACTAATCCTTTGAGCATAAAGCCATACCCAAAAACCGACATTTTAACCGTGAACTAATAGTATTCCCCTTGCAGGTTTGACGTAAGATTAGGGATAGGTTAGCTCCATATGTTAACAACTTTGCAATCAATAACTACCACCTACATCAAGCACAAATGGAAAAACCTTATAATGCTGTCAAGACACAAAGGAGGCCCCGAGGACGGATGCCAGACAATCGTTCGATAAACCATATTCCCGCCATTATTAAGGTCTAGAAATGAATGTTCAAGTAATTGGTAACTCATTTATGACAGGACAAAATCAATAGCTGTTCCCAAGGGTTTCAATATAAAAGGTTCCCTTGTCACAAGACAAATCAATCTGCTTATAATTTTAGAGCCGCAGCTGAAACTAGCTTAATCATAATCATTATCATACTTCCGTACCTGTAAAAAGTGTTTAACTGCGCGCTGCCCAAACCATTCTTCACCGTGCTTGAGTTTTACTGGGTCAACAAAATGCCGATGAGCCGATTGGACTCAAAAATTAACCACTGAACACAAAGCAGAGCTTGATAAATGCTATCCTACACCCAAACATATTGATATTGTTGCCGTTCAGGGTATTGCATTGGGTCCATTAATTTTCCTCACTTACATAGGAGCAATACGTGATAATATATGTCACAGTAGAGCATATCGATATGCAGATAACGTAGTCTGGTTTATTTATTTCTACCCGTCCATATGGAACTATGCATAAAACTATACTCGTAGCTATATCATACATAAATTACTCGAGTAAGTCCAGACACGTGAAGATTTCAGCAGATAAATCAGACATCCTGAGACGGATGCAGTATATTACACCTACACCATTCATACTTACAAATTTTATACGCTATCTGCTTTGGCTTCTCCAGACACTTGCTACGTCAAGTTGCGAAAGGGAAGCAACTGACAAGATACAGCACATTTGCTTTTCACTGACTTTCACTGACTTATTCAAACTCATATTGCAACCCACAATAATGTACTGCACCATCATATATTGACATAGTGTGATATATTTAACAGCTTTGGGTTGCGGCTAGCGGCTGGTGCAGTGTGGCCGAACACTTTTCAAGTTTGTTAACG